ATACTCAACTGAAGTTTGCTTTCCGTTGAGGAACACTTTCATGGTTAGATAAGTTAATTAACGCATTAAATGGTGGCTACATTTTTAGTATAGTTTATATTCCAACAATAGCTTTGAAGATAACGTGGCAATGGCTAACTAATTTTTCCTTAAATTGGCTAAGCATGTCTTTAAATGTTCTATGGCCAAATACTTGAGCTTATAATATAAGCAAAATTCTTTGCATGTAAATTTATTAGCATTCAATCATATAATTATTAAAATTACTGAATCATGTGATTGAATCTCACCTGCTGTGATGGTTAATTTTGTGTCAATCTGACTGCTCCCCAGGGTGCCCAGTCATTTGGTCAAACATTACTCTGGGTGTGTCTGTGAGTGTGTTTTTGAATGAGACTAACATTCTCAGCAGAAAAGAGTTCCCTGCCTAATATTGGTGGGCTTCATCCAATCAAACTACTAAACAAGCCACCTGAACCCTCCCTCAAGGAAGAGGTAATTCCTCCTGCCTGTCTGCCTTTGAGCTGGGACACTGGGTTTTCTTGCCATTAAATTCACACTGAAACATCAGCTTTTCTTGAACCTTGAGTTACCAGCTTTTAGACTGGAACTGTATCATTGACTCTTGTGGTTCCCAGGCCTTTGGACTCAAACTAGAACTACACCATCAGCTCTGCCAGGTCTCCAGCTTACTGACTGCAGATCACGGGACCTCTCAGACTCCATAATCACATGAGTGAATTTCTCATGATAAATCTCTACCTATACATTAGTTCTGTTTCAATGAAGAACCCCGACTTGGCAAAAGAAAATCTAATTTTGTCAAGTTCATCCATAAAGTATCACAGCTTCACATAAAAATAATGCTTGTAAAGTTAATATACTGGAGATAAAACTGTAGAGAAAATAACCTATGATAAAAGTAAAAAATATGTAAACGCACCTTGCATATTATTAGTTTACTCCATAACCATATTTTAGACATTGAATTTTATTTTTATTTGTTTTCCTTTTTAAAAGATTCTTCCTTAATATATTCACTGCATAACAGCTAAAAAGCTTGTGGCTCAATTAAGGGAGAAACGGTAAGAAAAAGAAGGCATCCAAGAGTTAAGAGGTCAGTATGGTTCTTGCTTTCAAAACTCATTTTCTGGCCCGGCAAGGTGGCTCATGCCTGTAATCCCAGCACTTTGGAGGCCAAGGTGGGCAGATCACTTGAGGGCGGGAGTTCAAGACCAGCCTGACCAACATGGAGAAATCCCATCTCTACTAAAAATACAAAATTAACCAGGTGTGATGGCACAGGCCTGTATTCCCAGCTACTTAGGAGGCTCAGGCAGGAGAATCGCTTGAACCTGGGTGGTGGGAGTTGCAATGAGCCGAGATTGAGCCAATCCACTCCAGCCTGGGCAACAAGAGTGAAAAACAACAAAACTAACTCATTTTCCATCTTCCACCCTTCAGGACTTAGTACCCTCTCCTGGACTGGGTGTGCACATAGGCTACCAGAGTGACCATTTGCCAATACTTACCAGGCAAGTCAATCCAAAAACTGGTTTGCCTATTTTTTTTTCCACTCTAAAATGATCATTTTTAATTTTTATTTTTTGTTAAATTAAATACTCATTTGAGTACAAAATTGTGTGTGTAGCAGGGTGAGTGAGGTTGGTAGAAGCTTAAGATCAGACTATTCCAATTTCTATACTCTGAGCTGCCTCCAGGGTAGGGTGATTCTTTGTAGAAATATTTCTTATTTGTATTTAATAAAAAGCCAAAGTTAAGATACCAATGATGGCAGTGGTAAGGCCCAGTGGAGGCTTGGCTATAATGAAAAAGCCTAGAAAAGTCCAGAAGGTTTTGGCTCTGTAGCCCAAAACTGTGTTGTTTTCTCACAACTGTACCCAGTATTTATTAAGAACCTCCCTACCATGTGCTTGCCATTATACAGGATGATTCTAATACTTCAAAGGACTTTTGAAATTATTCTCATAAATCAATCAGATGGTTTCTTTTTTCTGACTGTGGCTACACTTAGTATATATGTATTTGTAATCTTAGTATCCAGGAGTAATGGCTTTTAAAAATTCTTTGTGCAGTCATAGTTTTATCCCATGAACAAAGTTTCCATGTTTCTTTTAATTTTCAAAAAGTGTATGACATTTTCAGTTTTTATTTCTTCTTAAATACTTAATCTTTAAAGGTTAAAAATTAGCAGACTTTCCTTATTTCATTTTAATTCATGCCCTTTGATCTTTGGGGGAAAATGTGTTTAAAGTCTGTTCCTCACAGAGAAATTTTTTAAATGTTTTATTGATTTTTATGAACTTTGTTAATTTTATTTACCTTTTAGTACTAAACTATGAACATATCTAACTTTTCAAAACTATTAAATAAACATGTATTTCCTTGCTATTAATTAGAATGCTGGCGCTTCTAAAAATTCCCACGATGGTGAAAAATAACAAATCAAGGTGCTTAATTCAGATAATTTTCTTGAACTATATTAAAAGGATCATATGTTTTCTTTAATGTTGTATAAGATAAAAACTGATTTTAGTAAGTAAATGTTTTTATGAGGTACATTTAAAAATAGAAAATGGCAAATGATTCAATTTGGGTCATTATTTGATTTGCTTTGGTGGAATGGTGATTTGTTTCTTCACAGTCTTTAAAACCATGTACCCAGCAACCAAAGACGGCCTGACATGTCAGTATGACTGAAACACTCAGTTACCTGCGAGCTGATGGCAGTCATTTAGACTGTAAGCTCCACAAAGGAGGGATTATGTCTCATTAGTCCTGCATCTCCCGTGTGACCTGCTTGGTGGGTTGCACAAAATAGATGCCCAATACAGGTTTCTGTTCCAATTAAAAGTCTTGTTATCTTCTGTTCTTATAATAGTTTATACTACCTGGTAAATACATATTGAGATGCTTACCAATGATATCTGAAACAATAACAACAAAAACAACACATCCCGATCACCACCCATGCAAAAGAAAAAAGAAAAAAAAANAAAAAAAAAAAAAAAAAAAAAAAAAAAAAAAAAAGAGGGAGAGAGAGAAAAAAGAGAAAGGAAGGAAATAGATCACAAATATAAACTCTATCTCATGTCCCCACTCCCCCGACTCTGTCTGGGCGTTATACCTGGGCTAGAGATGCTCTGCTTCTCAGCAGAAGACAAAAGCCCTAGAAAGGCTGTCATTCATTTGCTGGAGGGAGAAGTGGTTCATCTACACACACACTGAGAGCCTGGCTAGCTACACAGCAGTGGTCTCTGGTAGGATGTGCCTCTTAGTGGAATAAGTGACCTTGAACAGACAATGAATCTAGCAGTAACAAGCCTCCCCTGATGCAGATATAAATTCCAAAGGAGTGGAGAACAATTCTTCCCTTCACGTTATCTTAATCCTCTGAAGGATGAGTGGGAGGATGGTTTCTTCTTCCTTTCTGAAGGCGGTTTTGTTGGTGCCTTATGCTAAGATAACTCAGCAGATAAAAATTTATTGTTTTCTCTTAGCATTTTCCCTGCAGTTAGAAGAAAACTGCCGCTCACATCCAAAAATATCTAATTTCCCAAAATACCTGATTCCAATAGGGAGTTTATAGAATTTGCTTCTTACCAAAGCAAAATCCTGAATACATGAAATCTGATATCTTGCCAATTAAATGAACGCCTCATAATTTTTAAATAGCCTATATTATTTTAATACTTTAAAGATTGTTGAGGGATAAATTGTCAGTCTCTATTTTTTTTTTGAAACTAGACAGACATTTATTTTGCGTTTGATTTCTCTGGTCCAAGTGTCTACATGCTGGAGTAAATCCACTTGCCTCTCTTCGGGGCTCTTCCTTTGCAATACGTTAACTTCGCTAAGGATGGCGTATGCCACTGTTGACTCCTGGTCCTCCAAGGCCTAGGAGGCTTACCTCCAGGCAGGGCACGGAGCCACAGCAGACTCAGAAGTCCACAGGTACAGCATCAGACATTGGGCTGATTCCTGAGGCATCACTCCTGTCTCCTAAGCCAGCAGGGTCTGGCTCTCTGATAAGGAGCTACCAGCTCACAATCACATGACCACTGCAGAAACATCAACGCCAGCTGGTCCAGGCTCCTGCCCGTTTCCTCTGGGCAGCATATTAGAATGGGCTCCCTGCCTTTTTGTTTTTATCATCCAAATCTAGCTTCAAAAAGCTCCAAAATGTCCTTGACACATCTGGACCTGAAAGTAAGAGCTGATTTTTAAGAGATTCTCATTGCATTTGGACAAAATGAATAATGTGCCTTTCATATTTTCTTTGTATTTCTCTTCAACAGTTGCGTGACTCAACATCTTTCTGTCTGCTCTATAAAATGAAAATACAAACTAAATGAGAATAGAAAAAATAATTAAAGCATTAAATTGTACAAATTACAAATTTGTTCCAAAATATACTTACATTAAATAAAATATGCATTTCAATAAGAGATCTACAGTGAATGACTATGCATTCTGGGAAGCTTCACAACATCTAGGCAGGGCCAACACTCGTGAAAGAAGCTAAGAGATTTTGCATCCAATCACAGTTTGTAGTGGGTATCTTATTGCCAATCTGCATGTTACACAGAACACATCATTAGCATTGCTTGTGCAGAAAACCAATTTTGTTGGGGAAAAGGGAAAGCAAGTTCTGGCCTCAATTTTGAGTTCATTACAACTTCTTAAGAATTTCACCAATAGCCTATAAAGTACAAGTTAAAAAAAGTAAACATGTTAAGGTAAGCAGACAACTCTTCAGAAGCCCAAACACATTTTCTTGCTGTATTTATGTTGAATTCTCCATCTACAATGAGCAGTCATGAAGATGGTCTTCTTCAGGGCAACATGGTCACAGAACTGGGGCAATCCAGGGGACTGAGAGGGAGCATGAGGACGGGAGAGGGGGCTACCTCCTGCTGTTTCACATGAGAGACAAACTGTAACACAGTCCATGGACCCGCAATCGTCCCCTTTTATCATCAGGCATAACGCTTGATGTAGCCGTCTACTTTATTCTGGAAGTCCTCCTTGTCCTGCAAATGATGTTCTGCAGCTTCAATATTCAGTGGATCATCAAAATCCAAAAGATCAGTAAATAAAGAGTTTAATCCCCATACAACATCCTTTAATGTTCTTGTGGGAGCCCAGCCAGTGCCATCAATTGAATGTTCTCTCAGTAAACTCAGACATATTTCCCCTGTCTCTGTGATGTTGGGGTGCCAGATCTTGGTCAGGCATTTCACTTCGGGAGGCACCATGCTGTAAGCATCGGGAACTACAGTTTCAAACTGAAATTTTCCACCCTGGTAGTAACCCTCATCTGGAGTTACTGTTAGCTGAAAACAATGAAGCTTGTTTGGATCAGGAAAATGCACTTTACATGTACAAGGTAAATTAGCTTTGAGTTCTGCAACCTCTTTAACAAGCAATCTGTCTCTCACAGAAACCTTCCTAGTGGAGTCCGACGCTGTGGCTGCCGCCCGGGACCCTTTGAGACCATCGTCACGCTTCAGTTTGCTTGCTAGCATTAGCATTACTGCTGCCTTTACCCTGGGCTCCGCGAGACAGGCGAGGCGGACCCGGCGCCCAACACCATGCCCGGCCGGGGCGGCTGCTGCGAGATGCAGCCCCTCACAGCCGCACCGGCTCCCGGCCCAGTCTCTATTTTTTAATAAAAAATAAAATTAATAAAAGTTAAATATTCTGCATTTATTATATATTATTATCTTGGCAGTTTTATTTTTTGTGACAAAATTCTGAGTCTGCTATATTGTCCAAATCTTAAAAATGTTTAATTGATTACAGAAAAATGTATTGGAAAATATTGCTTTGCTCTTTCTTTTTCTCTAAATTCCTGATTTTTAAAACTACTACTTAATTCATGGCCCATCACCAATGTCCAAGATAGTATCCAATTTTTAAATTCTGTACCCTGTCTTAGTGACTTCCAAACTAAACGAAATGAAAAGGACTCAGGGAGTCTGTGTTTACACATGGTGGCAAAATTAATCTTAAGGTACTTGGATGACTGCACTGGGGATACAACAGAACCTCTCCTCAGGCAACTTCTCAGCATACTATGTATGTCCCTGTGCAGAAGCCTACCTCTTTCACTCTAGATAACACAAGACTTTCTGAGCACTTACTCTGAGCAAAGTACGGTGCCCCAAGTACAAAGGTGGATAAGACTCAGTCCTTGATTTGATGGTGTTCATTGGAATAGGTTTTCAAACTGTGATGTCACTGTTTCTTCTGGGGGCAAAAAGTTTGCTTTTCTTAATGGGAATGAGTTTACTTATAAGTGCACATTGTGTCATTAATGTGCTTGACTCTCCATGATGCAAAACTTCTTTCTAATGCTGATCAGTTGCAAACATGATAGAACAATGAAATATGGTAGAGAGCCTAGCCTGGTACATGCAGTCGTCCTTGTCTGATATGGGCCTCTCTGAGAATGAAACTCCTCAAAAGGCCAGAGCGTGCTCTGCCTTCATTTCCCTTACACATGGGTGTTATCTAATACTGATCTACAGTCATGCGTCACTTAACAACTGGGATATGTTCCAAGAAATCTGTCATTAGGCTCTTTTGTCATTGTGTGATCACAGAGTGTACTTACACAAACCTAGGGTGGTATAGTCCACTGTACCACCAAGGCCATATAGTATAACCTAGGCTACACAGTACCTAGGCTATATAGTATATAGCATGTAGCTCGTAGGCTACAAACTTGTACAATATATTACTACTGTACTGAACAGCGTAGCAATTGTAACTCGGTGGTAACTATTTGTGTATCTAAACATATCTAAACACAGAAAAGATACCATAAAAATACAGCAGTATAATCTTTTTTTAGTCTTTTTTTATTATTATTATTATACTTTAAGTTCTGGGGTACATGTGCAGATCATGCAGGATTGTTACATAGGTATACATATGCCATGGTGGTTGCTGTATCCATCCACCTGTCACCTACATCAGGTATTTCTCCTAATGTTAACCCTCCCCAGTTTCCCCATACCCTGCTGTCCCTCCCCTAGCCCCCCACTCCCCAAACAGATCCCAGTGTGTGATGTTCCCCTCCCTGTGTCCATGTGTTCTCATTGTTCAACACCCACTTATGAGTGAGAACATGCAGTGTTTGGTTTTCTGTTCTTGTGTCAGTTTGCTGAGTATGATGGTTTCCAGCTTCATCCATGTCCCTGCAAAGGACATTAACTCATCCTTTTTTACAGATGCATAGTATTCCATGGTGTATATACACCACATTTTCTTTTCTTTTTTTTCCCCATTTATTTTATTGCATTTTAGGTTTTGGGGTACATGTGAAGAACATGCAAAATTGTTGCATAGGTACACACGTGGCAGTGTGATTTGCTGCCTTCCTCCCCATCACCTACATCTGGCATTTCTCCCCTTGATCTCTCTCCCCAGCTCCCCACCCCCCACCGACCCTCCCCTATTTCCCCTCAACTGACCCCAGTGTGTAGTGCTCCCCTCCCTGTGTCCATGTGTTCTCATTGTTCAACACCCGCCTATGAGTGAGAACATGCATATACACCACATTTTCTTTATCCAGTCTATTGTTGATGGGCATTTGGGTTGGTTCCAAGTCTATGCTATTGTAAACAGTGCCATAGTGAACATACATGTGCATGTGTCTTTATAACAGAAGGATTTATAATCCTTTGGGTAAAAACCCAGTAATGGGATTGCTGGGTCAAATGGTATTTCTATTTCTAGATCCTTGAAGAATTGCCACACTGTCTTCTACAATGGTTGAAATAATTTACACTCCCACCAACAGTGTAAAAGCATTTCTATCTCTCCATATCCTCTCCAGCACCTGTTATCTACAGATTTTTTTAATGATCGCCATTCTAACTGGCATGAGATGGTATCTTAATGTGGTTTTGATTTGTGTTTCTCTAATGATCAGTGGTGATGAGCATTTTTTCATATGTTTTTTGGCCACAATTTTAAATGTCTTCTTTTGAAAAGTGGCTGTTCATATCCTTCACCCACTTTTTGATGGGGTTGTTTGATATTTTTCTTGTAAATTTGTGGGAGTTTTTTGTAGATTCTGGGTATTAGTCATTTGTCAGAGGGGGAGCTTATAAAAATGTTTTCCCATTCTCTTGGTTGCCAGTTCACTCTAATGATTGTTTCTTTTGCTGTGCAGAAGCTCTTAAGTTTAATTGGATCCCATTTGTCTATTTTGGTTTCTGTTGTCATTACTTTTGGTGTTTTAGTCATGAAGTCCTTGCCTATGCCTATGTCCTGAATGATATTGACTAGATTTTCTTCTAGGGTTTTTATGATGTTAGGTCTTATGTTTAAATTTTTAATCCATCTGGAGTTAATTTTTGTATAAGGTGTCAGGAAGGGGTCCAGTTTCAGCTTTCTGCACATGGCTAGCCAGTTTTCCCAATGCCATTTATTAAAAAGGGAATCCTTTTCCCATTGTTTCTTTCTGTCAGGTTTGTCAAAGATCAGATAGTTGTAGGTGTGTGGCATTACTTCTGAGGCCTCTGTTCTGTTCCATTGGTCTATATCTCTGTTTTGGTACCAGTACCATGTTGTTTTGATTACTATAGCCTTGTAGTATAGTTTGAAGTCAGGTAGCATGATCCCTCCAGCTTTGTTCTTTTTGCTTAGGATTGTCTGGGCTATGCGGGCTATTTTTGGTTCCATATGAAGTTAAGTGTTTTTTTCCAGTTCTCTGAAAAAGTTCAATTGTAGCTTGATGGGGAAAGCATTGAATTTATAAATTACTTTGGGCAGTATGGCCGTTTTTAACAATATTGTTTCTTCCTAACCATGAGCTTGGAATGTTTTTCCATGTTTGTATCCTCTCTTATTACTTGAGCAGTAGTTTGTAGTTCTCCTTGAAGAGGTCCTTTACATCCTTTGTTAGTTATATTCCTAGGCATTTTATTCTCCTGTAGCAATTGGAATTGGAGTTTGCTCATGATTTGGCTATCTGTTTGTCTGTTATTGGTGCACAGGAATGCTTATGATTTCTGCACATTGATTTTGTATCCTGAGACTTTGCTGAAGTTGCTTATCATCTTAAGGAGATTTTGAGCTGAGATGATGGGGACTTCTAAATATACAATCATGTTGTCTGCAAATAGAGACAATTTGAAGTCCTCTTTTCCTAATTGAATACCCTCTATTTCTTTTTCTTGCCTGATTGCTCTGGCTAGAACTTCCAATACTATGTTGAATAGAAATGGTGAGAGAGGGCACTCTTGTCTAGTGCCAGTTTTCAAAGGGAATAATTCCAGTTTTTGCCCATTCAGTATGATATTGGCTGTGGGTTTGTCATAAATAGCTTTTATTATTTTGAGATATGGCCCATCGATACCTAGTTTACTGAGAGTTTTTAGCAAAATGGGCTATTGAATTTTGTCGAAGGCCTTCTCTGCATCTATTGAGATAGTCATGTGGTTTTTGTCTTTGGTTCTGTTTATGTGGTGAATTACGTTTATAGAATGCATATGTTGGCCGGGCGCAGTGGCTCACACCTGTAATCCCAGCACTTTGGGAGGCCAAAGCGGGTGGATCACGAGGTCAAGAGATCAAGACCATCCTGGTCAACATGGTGAAACCCCGTCTCTACTGAAAATACAAAATTAGCTGAGCATGGTGGCACATGCCTGTAATACCAGCTACTCAGGAGGCTGAGGCAGGAGAATTGCCTGAACCCAGGAGGCGGAGGTTGTGATGAGCCGAGATCATGCCATTGCACTCCAGCCTGGGTAAGAAGAGCGAAACTCCGTCTCAAAAAAAAAAAAAAAGAATGCATATGTTGAACGAATCTAGTATCCCCAGGATGAAGCCTACTTGATTGTGATAGATAAGCTTTTGATGTGCAGTTGCATTTTGTTTGCCAGTATTTTATTGAAGATATTTGCATTGATGTTCATCATGGATATTGGCCTGAAATTTTCTTTTTTAGTTGTGTCTTGCCAGATTTTGGTGTCAGGATGATTTGGTCTCATAAAATGAGTTAGGGAGGTTTCCCTCTTTTTGTATTGTTTGGAATAGTTTCAGAAGAAATGGTACTAGCTCCTCTTTAAATATCTGGTAGAATTCAGCTGTAAACCCATCTGGACCTGGACTTTTTTTGGTTGGTAGGCTATTAATTGCTGCCTCAACTTCAGATCTTGTTATTGGTCTATTCAGGGATTCAACATCTTCCTGGTTTAGTCTTGGGAGGGTGTAAGTGTCCAGGAATTTATCCATTTCTTCTAGATTTACTGGTTTATGTGCATAGAGTTGTTTGTAGTAATCTCTGATGGTAGTTTGTATTTCTGTGGAATCGGTGGTGATAGCCCCTTTATCATTTTTTATTGCACCTATTCAATTCTTCTCTCTTTTCTTTTTTGTTAGTCTGGCTGGTGGTCTATCTATTTTGTTGATCTTTTCAAAATACCAGCTCCTGGATTCATTGGTTTTTTTGAAGAGTTTTTTGTGTCTCTGTCTCCTTCAGTTCTGCTCTGATCTTAGTTATTTCCTATCTTCTGCTAGCTTTTGAATTTGTTTGATCTTGCTCCTCTAGTTATTTTAATTGTGACAATAGGGTGTCAATTTTAGATCTTTCTTCACTTCTCATGTGGGCATTTATTGGTA